GTGCTCTTCCGATCTCCCCAAAACCCCAAAACCCCATATTGTGAAAATCGAATTGAATTTGAGAAAAGTGAAAATTCCAAAGTGAAAATTCTAATTATTATAATTCTCTTAGACGCTTTTTAATGAGGGGGGTTAAGACTCTTATTTGACTTCTTACTTGTGTACATGCTTGATTTTCTGATTTATTTTATTTGATTATTTGATCTTACTCTAAGTCTATTTACTTTAATTTTCAATGTCTACTTGTCTATGTTTCAACTTTGCGACTTTCTCAACTTTTCACACATTACATCGTTAATGGCAGCCATATTTGCCATCTTCATCATCTTCACGTTTTTACTTGCCCACCGTTTAGACACTTCAACTTTCATAAGCAACGGCCATTTAAGCACCTGCTGACTTATAATCACTCTGAGACTTAGTCACTTGATTGGGCATGGTTGGAACCATCAGAACTCTTCATAGTAGTAGGTTTGAAGATTTTGGTTGCTTAAGGCAAAGGACTTAGAATAACGACTTTTTTCCCTAGAGACTTTTCCTTAGGAAATTTCAAATCCCAGCCAATTTAATTCATAAAACTTTAATAAGCCTGCAGGTTTAGTAATAATTGCTAGGGAATTTAATGAATTTAAGCAGAATCCCTAGTAAAATCATTTGATTAAAAGTACAGGGTTAGTAAGAATGTTTAAATTTACTGGTAAAATTCATAATTTAACAGTCAACTGGTCCTTAGAGGGGCGAACTTGGGAGCCAAATTTTACGACTCTGAAGCCATACCCTGGCTGATCCACCTTTTTCGCCATAACTCTATTTCTACCTAACCCCTTGGCCTCGAGTGATTTGATCCTGTCATTTGAACACAAGACCTATCATTTAGAGAGGAATTCACGGGGGGGTTAGGTGTTTGAAATTTTTGCAAGTGTCAAAATGACCAACTCTTATACTCAAATTATATACAACTAGTATCTACAAGATTACCATTAAAAGTTAAAATTTCGTTTTTAATCCTCCCCATTTACACACTTAGGGGAATTCACCTTCCTAGTGTCTTTATATGTATAGATGCTCTATCGATCTATCATACCCACAGGGTTACAGCTGTTCACCATCACTAGTAGTCGAGATAAGATGCAAATACTCCCCAGTTCAAAGCCATTTGGCTCCAGAGTTCGGCCACAAAAAGCTCCCAAGTTCGGGCCAAAAAGCTCCAAAATTCGGGGGGCATTTTACAATTTCTATTTTGGCACCCTTTGAGAGATGGAGTCTGAGACTCATGGAGATGAATCAACCCTAGTGGGAAAGTACGATAAATGAAATAAAAGTTGTCTCTACTTGAGGTGAGGTAGAGACATTTCGATCAATTTTTATGGTAAATGGCTCTCAAGTTCGGGGTATTTTGAAAACCATGAATTCAACTAACTTGGTCTAAACATCATCTAGTTGGATTATTATTGATGTTTAACTAGTACTCGTGTACGCTACTAGATGCAAATAATGAATTGCAATCAATGATAGGTAAGGTGACTATGATTAGAGAGAAATATCTTTATGGAATGAGAGTTACGATATTAAAATAGGGAATTATAAATATAGAATTTGGCAATATAGGGCCATTTAGATAAAATTCTAATTGAAAGTTATTGCACATGGGGCACTTTAATGATTCAAGAAGTGCCGAACTTGATGGTTTCAATCCATCTCTTGATACTGAAAGTCCAGATGTTCTCAACATCGACTTGATTCATGTCCTTAATGATAGAGGACACTTTGCTTACAAGTTACTTCCTAGTAATGTTAATGGCCACTATCTTACTTGTTTTAGATGTTTTGCACCTCTAGGTTTTTCTTAATATAAGCAAACAATTACTCCACTGGATTCAACCAAGGTGAGTATTCTGCATTAAATAGCAGAGTGACCTTGAACTTCTTAGCAGTTTCTAAGATATACGAGTGCTTGTGAATTACAGCATTATCCATGAACATTACGACTTACTTTCTACATAATTACTCATCTACTCGTATACTATGAAGCGTTTAGTAAACAAAGTTCTCAAAGAGAGTAGAGTCAACAGATCCTTCAATTATCTAAGTAGCATGCACTTGCTACTAACTGATTGCTGAAAGCAAAGAAACCGAGTACTACTAGCGCTTAGTTACAGCTTTGTTTCTAGAAACATTTCTTGCAGTAGTACCATACTTACCAAGTATTTGTTGTAACTCTAACTAGTGATCTTATAGTGAATTGAACTACTGATTATCTATACTTTATACTCCAATCGTTTCATCTTACTACTGGTCTAGTTGAGACTCAAGTAAATCCTCAGGGATTTACAGGTAATCGCCTACAGTTGCAAGTGCAACTTAATTGTCTTTACTCTCCTCATTTGAGTTGCTTGATTGATGATAATTACTAAATGATCTTAGTCTCCTTGGTTAAATTACTTCATCTACACTAGTAGACTTAAGCAATGCTTAATCATCTTGAGCTCTCTTAGGAGTAGAGAATATTGCTAGTTAATCGAGTTTGTGTTCTAGTGGAGTCTTACTAGCTGATGCTAGTCTCTAGTTTAAGTTGACTGGAGTAGGTAATGAATCATCATTTACAACTTTTACTTCTGGACTTTCAAGTAGTAATCCAAGCATCATCTTGCGAACAGTGGTCTAAGGAATTGGAGATTCCTCCTCTTCTTGAATTACTTCTAGATTATTTAATAGCCTACTCTTAGGCATTTAAGCGAAATCATTCATCCACACCTGCTTAGTTGGTGACTAGAACTATTCAAGAACTCTTGAGTTGGATGCATTTAGAGTATTCTGATTTTCATCAGTGACACTTTACTCCTACTCGTCTATGTCAACTAACTCATCATCATACTTGTTTAACTGGTGGCCATAAGTAAGGAATTAGTTACTTGCAAATACTACACTCTTCTTGAGTGATGGGTGTGGAGGAATTTCCTTAGCTTTGCATTTCCTTCTAAGAGATGCCTAGTTAAACTCCCATTACATACTTGGGAGTGAGTCTGAACGAAAGTTACTTTCATCTATAGACACTATCAGAAAGTCATCGTGGATGAACTAACCTAGTAGTCTACTTATCCAAAGGCGTTTGTTGTTGTAAGTCGGATCTCTGTACTTTAGATTTGCTGCTTGCAAATGTCCATACCTGAGATGAAAAGTTTCATTCAAGATCTTGAGTAGGGTATTCTTAGATGGAATATGAACTTCAACAGGTAATTCATTTTGATGTTTTAAATCGCCTAGGTAGGCATGCAGTTTAGCTGCAGTTATATCATAGATTCCAAAGAGTTAGATGAACCTCTCGATAGCATCGAGTAGGAGAGGATTATCTCTCAACTTTTTCCTGCCAGGTTTACCTCTTACTGGTGGAGGATTAACCATTGCTTTAATATCCTGCTTGAACTTTTATACAGAATAGTACACATCTTTCACTGGCATTTTCAACTTGTGAGCTATCACTCTAGGTTTCAACTCATCTAGTTAGTACATCTGTACTGCTTAATACTGCTTTGAAAGCAACTTTGCTTATCATCTATTAAGGAATGGCTAGTCAACTTCAGCTTTGACTTAAGTGTGGGGATACATGAATCTTAAATTAAGATTTTGCAAAGCCTACTTAACTTTAACTTTGCGATCTTGATCAAGACATTCGAACAGAGGAAGTGATATGATATAGTCAACATCTATGTTGAGATGTTCAACCTGGACATTGTTTGTCTTTAACTACTTAAGAGTCTAGAGATGCAATTCAAGAAAAGTGATGAGTTACTTATCAGAGAGCAGGTTCTCAATATCTACAACATTTCTAACATTTTCTTCTACTCACTCAGTAGGTAATCTTATTGTAACTGGTTAGGGTAATTCATTGACTACTTCAGGTACAATACCTGAATTTATGATCTAAGCAGTATTATAACTAAACCTCTTCTTCTGAACTGTAGTAGGAAAGTTCTTGTTTATAACAACATCAGTACATAATGTTATCTTATTATCTTTTGATGTAATCTTACTCTACTTGATGATTTACTCAGGTAGACTATTCAAGAACTATTCATTCAGAATTGATCTCTTGGATGCAACACTACTAGACTTGGCTCTCGAATCTGAAAGATCTTTTGAGTTGTCGGGTTGAGAAGATTCTTAACTACCCAGCTTTTGGATCTCATTATTAGCATATATATTTTGATAATTACTTAATTAGAGTAGATTTATTGTATGCCTATTATAGTAAGAATGGAGTATTAATAAGAAATCTTAAGATTATATAAATATTAGTAAGGCTTAAAGTAAGCTTCAATTGAATTAGGCTTTTAATTCTTTAGAAAGAAAGCCCAGGAATATTTTTTAGATTATATAGTCTAGCTATGAATTTCGAATAGATATATTTAAGTTTAACTCTAATATATTGATTCAGCGATGCTAGTTATTGAATTGAATAATTTATAATTATTATATTAGAGGAAATCTCCAACTCCATCAACTTTTGTGTCAAGTTCAATACTCCTTTAGATTATTTCTCAAATTCATTCTTGCTATTCTCCTATGCTAGATCAAGTTTTTGATTATTTTCTTTATTCTAAGTTTGAATTGAGTGTAGATATTAAATAATATCTGTTTTAGACTTAACATCTGTTGTCCTGATATTACAATTGAGGATGTAAAAATTTTAAGAAATATATTTAATCTAAAAATTAAGGGATCAATTTATTTCAAATATAATCGTTTTGAAGTCTCTCAATTTCTATATGCAAAAGCAAGTTAAGAATGTATATATAGGAAATTTTTTATGAAATTAAGGTTAATTAATATTTATTCAATCAGTATAGTAGTGGAGGAAGTATTGCTTTTATCAGTAGTTTTATCATTATTCGTATCTAAATTGGTACCTATAAAAAATAAAAATACCAAATTATAAAATCCTATTAAATATAATTTTACCGAATACCGTTTGCGAAATTTTCATGCAGTAATGGTCTTGATGTTTGAGGTGAAGGGAGTAGGTGCTAATATTTTCCTAAATATATATACAAACATGGATTATTTGGTATAAAAAACTAAATCTTACCTAATACTTACCTCAGTAAAAAATGGTTGGATATTTCTAAGTAGACATTACTGATTAAGATATAAATGATTATAGAGAAATCATAAGTTGGAGTACTGAAAAAATCATTAAAGAGCTGTAAGATAATGTGGATAAATACTTAAAGTTTATATCTGGATTTGGAACATGTCTCAGTCTATTCTAAAATAATTTATCTGCACTAGAAACTATTGTTAAATAGCTATCGATGAGAGATAGATTAAATATACTTATCCTAATATGCTAGAATCAACTTATCTGAAGTTCTCCTTTAGATTCCTCTATAAGTAATTATTAGTAAAAGATTGTTAATCTCATTCTATCTATGATTTAAAAATACTAAGATCATATATTATTTAACTAACTGATTGATAAAAATATATGTGAACTTATCAAACGAATCCTTACCTATTCTAATATGCTATAAAATGCTATGGAGAATCGCCTTAGATTTTTCAATAAATTTGCTGATTTATACTTGAACTATCCCTCCTCAGAGTTCGGATTCAGCCTAAGCAAAAAAGATGGACGACCATACTACTAGGGACCTTCAATAAGGTCCGACGGAATTACGGATCAGTTTTGAATGAGCAACCCTCCCTCTTCAGGATTTCTTCTCAAGTTGTGCTGATTTCTTATTCTAGCTGCTCTCATTCCTCTACTACAATACTTAACTTCCTCCACTACTAATTTCAACTTCCACATAATCATGCCAAATTGCTTTCTTTCTACTCCCTCCACCTCTATACTCCCATCGTTCTTCTTTGCAATTTTTACCCCAAAAATAAAATGATAAAATTAAAATAATCGAGCCCCTTAAATACCCATGAAGATTAAAATGGATGGTGAAAAATGGTTGGTATTTTTTAAATGAATGGTAAGACTTAGAAGTCTATTTAAATGGTGGTGATATCCGAGTTTATAATTTAATTAATAAAATAAATAATTTTTGAATGCCAATAGGGCTATTATAATAAAATGAATAGTTTGATTATTATTTTTACCTACTCCAATTTATTAAGCTCTGTGTTTAATGGTCTTCTGATAACAATAAAATTTGGGAAATATTTATACTTTTCAAATCATCTTCATTGAATAACTATTCTCTCTCAACAATCATATTTGCTTTAACTCTAAATGATTCAGCAACTAATTTCTGCATTACTCTTTCATAAGATTCAGATATCACAGCAATGATAAAATTCATAAAAATTATATTTAGAATCATAACTGCAATTAGCCATATAATCCAAGTAAATATTACTAATCCATCATCTTAATTATGGTAGTCATCAAGCTGAAAGTCACCAGATGAAATTCTGAATGCCATTAAAAATATGCCAATTTATTAACTCCATTATATTCATCAATTTCCTAAGCCTTAAATAGGACTAAAAATATCATTCCAAATTTAAATATAAAAATTTTTATTCATAATTGACTATAAATTAAGGCTTTTTAATTGATTACCCTGCTTTATTAGGTAGTTTTATTATGATACAAGCATTTATATAAATAAATTATTAGTTCTAAATAAATTATATCTATGTGCAAGTGCAATAACTTAATTAATAATTTACATGTAATTAATAATACATTAAATTAGTGAAACAAAGTTCGCTTAAGTGCATATATTTTGATAGAATTAATTTATTTTGGAATTAGATATTTTAATTAGCTATGTAAATACCATTTTACTTCTTTCTTTAATTAATTCATATGTATTTATTGGATAAAAATAAATGATTTATACTTGCAAAAGCAATATTTCAATGAAAAATGATTGGCATTCTATTGAAAATACTAGTCAAGTAGAACTAAATTTTGCTTAAATGCTCAGATTTTGATAAAAATTTATTTATTTTAATTTTGATATTTTTGTTACCCATGCATGCTGGCAATTTATTATATTTGAAATATGCACTTGAATTTATATATTGATTGAATTAGATGCTTCATACATAAGAGTACGACAATTTCATGATAAAAAATGATATTGTAATGAATTTATTAACCAAGTGGAGCCTAAGTTCGCTTAATAATTTCTTAGTTAATTATGCCTAAAGGCCTATATTGGAGATTAATTATTTCAAATACCCCTTACATTCAAGACTTCTAACTGCATATTTATGCATTCCCACCCTGTATCATAATTATCACTAATGGATATGCCATAACTCTTAGAGATGTAGAAGTTGA